TATTCGAATTTAAAACATTTTCAGTTATATCTCGGTCGCATTTTAATATTTTTGAAAATAATCTTTGAGGATCGAAAGATTTTCAGCCCCTCAATTCAAATATATAAAAATGTAAAAAATGATGGAATCAGAGTTTTCATCATATGGAGTAACCTTAATCAAACTCCCGAAATTTACAATATTATATGAGAACGAAACAAAAGACTTTACAACAAAACAAAGGCGAGTTAGATATGCGATCGGCGACATATAGTCAGCTGTGTAGCAGAAACCGCGTCGTTTTTCTTGGACTTAGCTGTTTTTAAGGTTATTTTGAAAAGCTTCAAGCACTTATCACTGTGATCAATTTAAATTCCTTCGCGCTTATTTTAGACCTGAAATTGAGACCGCGTCTTCAAGTTTGCCACGTCGTAGATCCAAAACTGTCTAATCTTAACCTACAAAACCAGGAAGTGTATTGTACCTCTTCCTTCGCTGTGTTTCAACAAAGTATTTGTTGTGAATATAAACTTAGAATGTGATGTTGCAACAACCATGCATGACCTGAAATGAAAATCACAAATACATATTCTCTGTTCACCGTATAGGTACCTTGAAGAATACAATTGTGGATTTCTGGAGGATGATTTGGGAACAAAAAGTGTCTTCAATTGTGATGTTGGCAAACCCTATTGAAAAGGGCAGAGTAAGTATAAAAAGCGCATATATGAATTGGTCAAGCCGTATATAAAATAAATCGTTTTAAAGAGGCAATGTCCATAAATATATAACGATTAACAACAAAATGAATGTGCGATAAAGTGATTTTAATGACGAATTTATTTGTTGAATGTATTTACTGCTTTTATTAACTGTAACTAATCGGTTTCCTCATCCCCACAGGAAAAACTTGCTGTGTATTGGCCACAAGACCGAGCAGTGAAACATGGTCCATTTATGATAAAACTGGATGGCGAGGTGGAACTGGCTGATTACGTTATTCGTAAAATGACAGTTACACAGGTATGTATTTGACATCATCGCCATTTTTTTATTTCTTGAACAATACGACTGTTTATGTACTATTTAAATATATCTGATAATTATATCTGATAAAGCACGGACTGCGAGGGTTTTAAATGGCTTTAAAAACGACCCATCTGATTGGTATATTAGCGAAGTAATTTTTAAAATAAACTTTGTCTAAGCCGAGAAAATCAAAGCTAAAGTTTATGTAAATTAACATGATTTTTTATCACATATAAAACCACCGACACGGCAGTGATTTCCTTTGTCTTTTCTAATTTGCTTCATGAATTATTGAGTTTTTTAAAATTTAAATACATATATGTTCTAATAATATTCAGTGGCGTAGCCAGCCAGACAATTTAGTCCCACTATGCAAATTCAAAATTATTATCATTATTCATTTCTTTAGAAATTGATTCTTTTCACAGTCAATGAACACGAAAATATTTGCATAGCGGGACTAATTCGTCGGGCTGGCTACGCTACTGATAATATACATGATGAATTACTCAATTTTGAAGAGCGGTGCGACCAGCCAATAAAAAGATATTTAATTTATTTAATTTAAATAAAGTTTTGACATTTGAAAACTTTTATTTACTGTATAGTTGTGCATGCCATTCAAGTGCGTATGCAAGTGACCATGCATGCAAGTGGTCATGAATTTGGTCCTGAATAATTTTTTCATGTATATTATTAATAACAGTATGATTTCTCGTGCAATTTGGAAAAGGATACACTCATGAGACTTCAAAATTACAATCATTCTTTGGTCTCGCCGTTTGATCGTCTTTGAAAAACTCGTAAATGTTTTTCCAGATTGCACTCAAAACCATCATTCTTTGTTTTCATAATTGATATTGTCAAATTTTATTATTAGTCATTTTATCTTACATTGATACATTAGTACTCTGACCTAAAATGATTATTTGTTGTTAACTTGGAAAATAAAAATAACATATTTTAACATTTTTTTTTTTTTGTTGCAAGGATGATATCAAAGAAACACGTCAACTCACTCAGTTCCATTACACAGTATGGCCTGATCACGGTGTACCTCTGTACACGACATCTCTTCAAGCATTTTTAACCCGAATACGAAAGATCGTAAAAGACGATAGTAATCCTTTGGTTGTCCATTGTAGGTGAGTATTATAATAGCCGTTTGTTCAAAAGCCATTTCTGGCTTATTTAATGAAGAAGCTCGAAAGTACAATCGCATATACTTTCACTGTAAACGCTACTGGAACACGTAAAGCTGTGTTTACACTCTATATAAGAACTGCATGCCATTTACATATAAGAAGTACCTATAGCTGAGGAAAAGTAAATACTATGTTTATATTAGATAATATACTAAAACTGTCTGTACCAGTGTAGGTAGTACCAATGTGAAAATGCTGTGCTGAGTGGTTGTATTACTACCTTAAAAAACAAGCAGAAACTCGACGTTTCGAGCGAAGTCCCTTCGTCAACAATTAACTCTTGACGCAGGCCTTCGCTCGAAACGTCGAGTTTCTGCTTGTTTTTTAAGGTAGTAATATAATCACTCGGCACAGCATTTTTATATCAGATAACCCAGCCAAAACTTCGAGTCCTACAAATTGTTCTTGGGTCTGCGATATGCAATACCTACTGCGGACCTATACGACCAGCTGAATTGCGGACTATCTAGGTTTTATACAGGGCTTGAAATTTTCGGTTGGTCCTATATAGATCAGTCGTATGTTAGTCTTACCGGACTGATAAAATTGTTGTATTTTGAAATAATTTTACGATACAAGGTAAGGTGCTGAAGTTTTGCAATTTTTTTCTGAATGCAAATCCGACGTCTATCCAAAGTCTATCCATATGCATGCATTCTTTACACGTTTGTCTTAATTCAAAGTTTGTTCTGTTCTGCCGGCTGTCTCGTGACATTCTATTTGTTAAAATGTCGAGATTTTTGGGCATCTCCCTCGATAGATCGGAATCGACCACAAGTTCGATCCCTGGCAGAGGAACAGTTGTATTTTCCTCAGCTGCTCCTGGTTAGGTCTAAAATTATATATAATTCTCTGCTCAAAATTTCCATCTACAAAATAAATCTTCAGCTATTATTTTTTTGCTCTATTTTAGTGCTGGCGTCGGTCGAACTGGGACTTTCATTGGAATATTTGCAATGTTGGATATGATTGAATCAACGCAAACAGTGGATATTTTCAATTTTGTTTGTCAAATGCGTGCACAGAGGACGCACATGGTCCAAGTTGAGGTTGGTCATCGTCTTCACATTTATTTATTATTGATTCAACATGTTTATCGGCATGAAACTTGATTGACTGATGAGATGAGATAGCTTTAGTTGTCTAAGGAATGTTGGAATCAGTTGTAGTGTTTGTATATGAGGTTCTGGTTGTTACTCCTAGTTTCAGCATGCTCATTAAATGTTAAATGTTAGACCTATTAGAAGACCTATACTTTATAGTTTATGCACGTATCGTAAAGATCCAGTGCACCTTGAGTCTAAGTTTATAGCAGCTCAGATACGCGGCAATAATAATTGAAGACCTGCATTTACGTACTTTAGATGTTTTTAAGGACGAGTTAAAGTTAAAGCAATATTATAATTAAGAAATAGAAGACGAGTCGTGTGCGTTTTTGAGGTGATAATGTACGAGGGGAATGTTGGAAGAATACGAGAGAAATGTGTGAAGCACGAGGGGTAGCCGAGTGTTTTAGACACTTTTCACTGTCGGTGAATATTGCATGCAAGAATATTCCTTGCACTATTCATCTCCACTTCGGTGAATAATTCTTAAATAAATTTTACTATTGTGTATATAATTCGTCCCTGTGCCTTTGTATTTTTTTAGTCTCAATACGTCTTTCTCCACAAAGCTGTGCTGGAAGCAATTGAATGTGGCGATACTGAAATTAACGCTCCAGATCTTCGTGTGAAAATGATAAAATTGAATCGAGCCGATCCCGACAATCCGGATGACATTATGATGGGCACGCAGTTTAAGGTATACTAGAACCTTTATTATTTTAGAGGTTCATATTTGACTTCCACTACCACTTCTTCCCAATTGAGTTAGCACGTATATGATTGGTCAATCGGTTATATCAAACTCGTCTTATTGGTTAATGGTCCCACAATGGTAGGGGTAGAGGTAGTGAATGTCAAGTCTGAACCTTTCTGCTGTATAACCAGCGACTATTGGTTAAAAAGACCCCGTATTAAATTAATTTTGTTGCATGTGACTATGACGATAATAAACAAATATAAATTCTTCGAAGCTTGGCCATCATTCTGTTCAAATATTCCACTTAGCCTGATTTTAATACGTCCACGTTTGATGGTATATTTAAATTTGAACATTATACTTTTAAAGTGTAGACATTAGTATGGTTTCGAGTACAGTTTGGAAAAAAAACAAGCACGAGTGAGTTTTTCAAGTCGGCAAGAATAAACGTCTTCGAAAGCTCACGAGTGTGTGTTTTTCCAAATTGCACTCCTAAACCATTCTATCACCTATACTAACAGCATACATGAAAAAAGTACACGCTTCAATAACACCTGCGTATTCACCTGCGCCGTTTATTTCATTTCTCATGTTAGCAAATTTTTCCAGGCCTATAATTAAGTTGTTGTATTAATATTAGTTTAGGGTGTACAAAAACTTGTCAAAAATTGTAATGAAAAGTCTATGACTTGTAAATTTATAACGTTGCGCGTTTATAATGTTGAAAACATGTTTGTCGTATTGCGGTGTTTTGGGTGCCAATTATACTACGTTATTTTAATTTAAGGTTCTCGAGAAATATACATTTGTCAAGTCGAACACAGAAGAAGGCAAGAAGTCTTTCAATGTTGACAAAAATCGCAATAAAGATATTTTACCTTGTAAGTGCTGTTTTGTGATATTTTTGACAATCTAACATTATTATCCGAATTTGGGAATTTGCAATTTAATCAATGTTTTAGTACATGTTTGTTTTTAATTTTATCCTTTTATCCGAATCGTATAGTCTTATTGTAAAATCCCTACGCTGTTACTGCAATTTATAGCCCCTTTAACTATTCCTTGTTCGAGTTTCTAAACAAATCGATATTAATCATTGCCCCAATGCAACAATTATTAAAATAGCGTGACAAAAAAAACGATATAAAGGCACAAGTATGTGATAAATATATTTATGTAAGGCCCAAGTATGTGTAAGATATCGTTCACGAAACTGATAAACACACTTTGTAGTATTTTTGTTCAAATCTAGAGCTTTTCATTATTGTTCGGAATATCATTCGTTACATGCTATAAATATGTCCATTTACTTTAGACGAAGACACCCGAGTATCTCTTCTTAAGAGTCCTGGAGTTGATGGCTCAGATTACATAAACGCCAGTAGTATTGATGTAAGTGTACACATTCATTATACTTGCCGGAGTTCCCTATTTATATGTGCTGAAATCATTTTAAATTTATCACATATTGGGTACCCACCGTATAAACGTTTGTACTTTTTGTTTTAATTAAATTTATGAATATAACCGCTGAGAGCTTCACCTTTTGCAATGTGCAGTGCAATTTTGGTATTAACGTTACGATAGTTTTACAATTCATGGCCCAATGAAGCCAGTTTTTGGTTGTTTAATACAGAGTTTAAGTACAGTACGCGGAAGTTAATCGAGCAGTTATGGATGACGTCAATAGTTCTTGCTTGAAATCAAGAAGGGCATTCAATGCAGTTTCACGTTCGTCTTTTCAAAAACGTAGCTTGCATATCTAATGTCATTATTTATGATTTACTCATTACGCGTTTTGATTATTAATTAACACGAAAACTTCATTTTAAAAATATTTCATACAACAAGACTACGATAATTTAGTTATGAATGTTAAACCATTGTATATATCGTTTCCTTTATTTTTTTTCCGCAGAGCTATCAAGTACGAGGAATGTACATTGCCACACAATTCCCACTTGAAAATACAGTCAATGAATTCTGGAGAATGATGTGGGAAAAGAAATCCAACTGTATCGTTATGTTGGCCAATGACGACGAAAACCCTGTAAGAAACTTCTATAGTATAGACTTTATGCATATGTTGTTCCATTAAGGCCATTGCGATTTCTTCTTCTGATGTATGCGAATTAGTAGATGAGTTTTTGCATAAATGAAGATCCGCTCTGGCAAGCCAATGGCGGCTATATTGCTGGGTTTCAGTCACATGGAGTTAACTCCAAATGGAGTTAAATATTCATTATAACTATAGATCTTGTGTTTGATATCAAATATATCCAATTTAACCAAATTTACTTGCTTACACAAGGCATAAAGCGGCCACAAGTGTAAAGTTGACCACCAAGCGTTTCTCTATGTATTAAGTCCCATATACAGACCGAACACGATTCGGCAACGCGATGCGAATTTTCAGTTTTTAAAAACAAATAAAACCGTCAACGGATTAAAATTTTACAAGATATCAGACCAAATAGCTAAAATTGCTTAAGTGGTTCCAAATATTTGAAAAACATAGAAAAACATTAAAAGTTAAATGTCATTGAAAATTCTCGTCGCGTTGCCGAATCGCGTCCGCTCTGTATGGACCTTAAGGCTTCCTATTGGCGTGACCACCTCAAATCTACTGTGGTTTTGCTGACTTGTTACAAAAGGTTCTAACAGTTTCTCGTTATTGTTGGGAAAGGACACGTATTGTCTAGATAGAAATTTATCAAAAATGGCCTCTCTTTCGTTTTAAAATTTCTGGTCTAATTATCTAGCGTATGAAAGTTCTAAAATAGGTGCGAGAAGCTACAACTTTCAAGCTACACAGTCCAAGGCATTTTCTTGATAGTTAAACGAATTTAAACAGCTATAACAATTCGATAGGTGAATAACTTTACAAGATTTTAAAATCTCTGTATAAATGCTCTGACTTCAAAATTGGTTCATTGAGTTTCATAAGGATACTCTAACCAGTCCTATTTTTCAGGTCAGTGGAGTATATGTATACCCTCATCTGAACATTCATAACTCATTTGCTCGTTCACATCCATCAGAAGAAGAAATAGCACCCGAAATTTCGTCAAAAAATTGCGGTGTGATTTTCGTCTTCTGAAGGGTGTGAACAAGTGGATGAGTTATGATTGTTCAGATGTGGGTACATAATTACTAAGATCATGCATAACTCGTCTACTGGTTTACACGCAGCAGAAGAAGAAAATCGCACTATAGAAATCGCAGCAAAAATTGCATATGTAAACGGGCCTTTAGTTTCCAGTACAACACCGTACTTGCACTTATCCCATCGAAGTATAAATCGTTTTCCACATTGGTCTTTGTTATATAAAAATGTGTAATCTACGAAATAAAAATATATTCTATAGGACTTGTTCAAGAAATATTGGACGGATAAAAGCAATGATGCAATGCTTTGCGGTAACCTCCTGGTCACTTTGGATAACGAAGAAAAAAATGAAGAGTTCGTGATAAGAAATTTTAAATTGAAGAAAAACGAGGTAAGTTATTAGTGGCATGTTTGCGAGTGCACCTGAGCTAAAATGGAAGCTCAGGCTGCCAGTGCGGTTAGCGAAATTCCCCGCAGTTACGCGCTGCACAGACTTGATATTCTTAAAACTCGCGTAAGTGTAGCTGTGAATGATTCTATAGTTAGCTGTTTCACTAGAAACTAACTATTGCCCGTTAGCTGTGCTTTCATTTGTGTCCTATGATGGCAGTTAGGGGCGCCCTAGAAATCCATAGAGGTAATCGTGACTGTATTGCTTCCATTGTCATTGAGATTTATAGGTGCGATAAAGGACGATCAGCACAATAAGAGATTTATTATTTTGAGAATGTTTGCGCATGCATATTAACACTATATAGTTATTATGTTTTGCTAATTAAGTATATGTCTAGTATATATTTATGCAATCAAGTGAATTTAATTTCCAAAGGAGTTAAGCGTGTGTTTTTAAAAGTCTAAAAATCCAATAACTTTGCCGGGTTTGTTATTGAATTGGGTTAGACGAGCAGATAAAGTCCGAAATAGGTGAAAAGCACGAGAATTCTTAAGTTATATATCGCTTCTTTAACGCAAAACCAAAGCGGGTTGTCGGGCGTAGCAACCGTAAACATGGATTGTTGGAACTATGAATTATACATACTGTGTATGCAAGTCCTTGTCCTTCAAATGGTTATAGAGGTCGAGGGTTTGACAACCTTATTTAATTGAATTCGCTGTATACATTGTTCTGGGTCTGTAGGGTGGAGAAACAAGAGACATCTGGCATTTCAATTTCCTCTCGTGGACTGAAGACCAGGTTCCAAAGACCACGGAGGGCATTCGTCAAATGATCGGGAAAATTCAAGATGTACAACGTCAAGGTGGCAACAATCCCATTGTCGTACATTGCAGGTATGTTGGTTATTTTAATTTGCACTGTTAACCCCCTCCAGGACAGACTGGCAAGTTTTCCTCGACAAGTGTTCCTTGACAAGTTTTACTCGTTTTTGGGTACGGCAAAAATTGACAATTTTTTCTAGTCATGGCAGTTTTCAAGAATAAAAATTGGTCGTGGGTACGGCTGTCAAGGAAAACAAGTAATTTCGCAGTACGTCACTAACGCACTCGTCTTCGAGCCGCTATTGCCAATGAATCTTGTTTATTAATATATTCGCTTTTGAAGTCTTGTATCGCAGACAGTTTCTGCTGTTTTCAATTTTGTTGGAAGCAGTCGTGAAAGAAAATTATGAAATTGTTTACATAGATAGCTTAAATAACATGGGCTCGTAAAACTTGTCAAGGAAAAGAATCATCGAAAAAACTGTCCGTCGTACACAAGAGTAAGTAAACTCGTCATCCAGTAAAATGTACTCTTACGGTGCTTTAAGATCTTTATACAGTCCTTACTACTTTTAAGTATGTGTGTACTGTGAATGGTTTTGAAATTCTTCCCCAAGCAAATTCACAAGCTATACATGAGGGTCTGTAAGACCATTTCTAATTGGCATTCATATGCTGGCTCAGTTTCCTTTGATGACGAATGAATATTAAACTTCTGTCTCTGGCTTCTATATGCTGACCCATGCATAGAGTTCAAATTTAACCCGTTGTTTGGTTTTTATATTTCTATACAGAAAAGAAAAAATCTTCCATTGATCCAGACAAGAGTTCTGGAAAAAAGTTTTACGTTAAATACGATTAAGCTATTCTTCGAACAACTACTCCAGTTGTATGTTGTCCAAATCTAGGTAACCCATCGTTCAAACACAAGGTACAGCAATGTACGACAAGAAAGACGTAATTTCAGGTGTTTCGTTGTTTAGTTTATAGATTTAACCAGCATTTTATAATGTTTAAAAGAAATTTTAAATTTTGATTAATCAATTTTTTAAGCGGCGCTAGGCGCGCATGGCTAAATAGCAACAACATTATTAATAGCCAAGCTAATCCAACGTTACTTATGCATGTAAGCTGAGTGTATTGCTTTTATTAAAACAGGTCATTCATTCACTTTTGCATGCATGCATAGCAGTGTTGCCATCCACTCATGATAAAGGGATCAGAATGATCTTTTCATTGTTTTGCAAATCCCACTTTTCTCCATGCCTCCCAGTCACTTTTTCTTTTGACTTGATTCTTCCTAGTCATAAAAGCTAAAGGCAGATGCATGCATAACTTACTACTTTGCAATAAATTTATTTGCCATCTTCATCGTCTTTAATATTGTGTTTAGCGATGGTAGTGGTCGAACTGGTGCTTTTTGTGCATTGGTGACCTCCTTGGAAAGAGTAAAACAAGATCAGTCATTCAATCTATTCCAAACAATCATGCTACAGCGAATTCAGAGACCAAGAATGGTTGCTTCTGTCGTAAGTAACTTTTATCAACTCCTGCCACATTAGCTTTATTCAGATCTGCAAAATTACGAAAATGCGACTAATCCCAAATATGATATTTTGTATGTGAAATATTTCTACTTCTTTCAAAAAACCTCCTACTCTAATTTCTATTGGAAACCCTGCTTATAAGTGATATAAATATTTCATGTGAACCAGTACTTGACAACTTTAGCTTTACCGCGCCTTCGATCTTTATCGCCAGCAATTTCCATAGATAACGGTTTGTAATTCTATTTTCCCTTTTAGGAACAGTACAAATTCTGTTTCCAAGCTATTCTGGACTTCCTGGATTCCTTTGATCAATATGCCAACTTCCAAGACCTCCGACAGTAATACAAGAGTAATAAATGTGTTCAATAGTTAAGATAAACCATTAGGACACTCTACTTTTCTCGTATCACGTCTCTTTTTTTAATGCATTTAGTCGCACCAGCAGATGCGTATACATGACACCGTTGAACGTCGTTAAGTTTTCGCATTTTAGGACTTGATAATAACAAATCCGTAATAATATTGGAGGATTCTTAAAACGGCATGAGACTTAATTCACACTATAGTTTTTTCCCAGGACTTTCCAACTACTAATTTGAATAGAGCATTTCACTACGTTACCACAAGCAATGATCCTTTGTCATTATTTCCATTTTGGAAACAGTCTGCATTTTGTTGAGTTTTGAAAATTCATTTTCATCATTCGAAATTTTTAAATGTTTTATCATTCTTTGATAAAGCTCTTGCTTATACCTCACACTACATATGTCGGTTTGGAAAGTGGATAAAATTGCATTACTAAAACAAATTATTTGAAACGTGCGTGTTAAAACATGTTTTATGAGTCCACGGCGATGCTATTTTTCATTGCATCAAATTATGCGCACATTACATTTTACATAAATGGCATTAGAATATCTTGGTATTTCAGTTTTTAGTAGTTACCTTCCGCATTCGTTAACTTCGGTAACACCAAGAATTTCAAAAGGAAGGGAATGGGAAAGAGTCTAATTGAATTAGACTAAAATACGAATGTAACACATGCACCTTAATCCTTCACAATACATCCAATGCACACAATTTACATTATTTATGCACGATATAACCAAGTTATAACTAATTACTTATAATGTTCAACATAGATGTATTTACTCGTTATTGAACTTCTCGAATTGGAAAACAGAGACATTGAGCCTAAATTCCATCATCGTATACGATTTCACAAGCCATGTATTGGAAATAACGAGACTGTATCACTCGAAAAAGTTCTCTACGTCCAGACGCCAGACGATTTCTGCGCAAAATCGATCACTAAATATTCGTGCAATTTGAAAGATCCCAAAAATCAATGCAACAACTCATTTACTCGCTCATTCAGATGAGAACAAATGAAAACACATTGCAAAAAATAAGAAACTTGAAAATCCCACGTCTACGAAATATTGATAATCAAGACCTGAAGATTGATGACATCGGGTCATACTTTTCCTGAGGTCAGTCTTAAAGTCCATAATAACAAAGTCTCTTGTAATTTTCACGGAGTGATACACCCCCGTTAAGTGTTCGGTTATACTGTTAATAATTAATGTCTAATTTAATGTAATCTTTAATTGGCTAATGTAATGATTTTAATGCATAAAACTATTTTGTTTGAATACTAATATTTGAGTTAGAATAATATAGATTTAAATAGAGTAATAAACACCAGCTAAAAAAAGATCAAGTTTCCTGTACTTTACATTAGACACCTTAAGATTGACGTTTACGGCAAACGTCAAACCGCAAGCGAAGTTTTTGATTTTACAACTCTATTATAATAACGTTTACACCAATTTTGAAATATGTTAAACAATTATTAAACTTGTCGCGTTTAGCAATGATTTAAGAAAGCAAATGAACCACTAGTCATGTATTCACCAAAACAGTAAATTAAGATTTGGCGTTTGAAGTTTACGTTTGGCGTATAAATTTCATGCTTGAACGACTACAAGCCCTCGTAGCCGTTCAAGTATGAAATTTATACGCGAAACGTAAACTTCAAAAGACAAATCTTAATTTACTGTTTTGGTGAATACATGACTAGTGGTTCATTTGCTTTCTTAAATCATTGCTAAACACGACAAGTTTAATAATTGTTTAATATATTTCAAAATTGGTGTAAAAGCTATTATAATAGTGGTAAAATAAAAAACTTCGCTAGCGGTTTGACGTTTGCCGTAAACGTCAATCTTAAGGTCTCTAATATAGTGCTTTTTCTCACAGTGAAATGAATATAACTGGAACGCTACCTAGCCTCCTCCGCAGGCCTCTCTATGGGTTTTAGCCTGCGAATGGGTTTTGATTTTCTACCACCCCATTCCTCGGGTGAGATGCCTGCGGAGGAGGCTAAACGCTACCTTAGATAAACTGCCTATCCTTTTCTTGAAGCCAAATTTTACCTACAAACACGCGTGTCTGGGGGTGAAGAACCGAGTATTTATGTCTCGCGTAAAGGAAAAGCTGAAAGTAAAGTCTATACTTGGAAGTTTTAGCTGAATAAATGCATTAATAGAAAGCTTTTTTAATTAAGCCGGTCTTTAAGAGGAATATTAATGTTCGCGTGCGTGAAAAGACTTGAACTGGCCTTCATGTGTGGCTTCAAATTGCCGATTGGAGGTTCCAGTTTATCCATTTCGCTGTTCTCTCACTCGTGCGGGCTCATATTGTCAGAGAGAATATGAAACAAAATTGGCAACACTGTGTAAAACTCATAACGTTTTCGCTGGAAGTCCCCTGCAAGAACGAACCTGATTTACTGGAGGAAAAATTTGCCAAAAATGATCACAGTGGGGTTGGTGCAGTACGTAGAGAAACTAGTGCACCTTTGAATGTTAGGCCTGGGAGAGACGGAGTAAACGGGTGTGTTTTAGTGTTTTTACAAAAGGCATTGCTTAAAAGTTGAAACGCAAGTTTGCGATAAAAGCTTTCAAGACCTAAAATCTCAGTTTTGGGCCGTGGCGTACCTCTCAAAATTTCTTTGCCTCATCTTTGTGTTCCATTTTATACAGTTAGCCCGCTGTTCAAATTCATCTACCGGTTGCGAAACATGTGCATGAACACTACAAAATTGTCAATTAAAATGCAATTATCAAAACTTTCCAGCACAAGCAGACGGCGGGAAAAAATGGAGCTGAAAATCCCTCCCCCCCATCACTTTCCTAATGGTGCAACCCCATGAAAATCTTTCTGTACTTCAAGCTTCATTTTCACTTTGGCTTACCATTTAAAATTTCTTCATTTGATCATGGTTTTGAATGTTGTCATAGTATAATGTATTATACTCGTTAGTATTGAGCGGTCCGATGCCCCTCCTTATACCATGAAGCTATTCTACCCCGGACACCCCGACAGCTGAAAGTTGATGACTGTATGATTTGTCTTCGTATGATATTAATATCATTGCAAAATCATGGATTTGGTCGAAAAGCTTGACTAGACGAGAAATTCGGAGAAGAAGGGAAGTGTTTGTAAATGTGAACAAGATCGTGTATTTTGATTTTCTTTGGATTGCAATTCAGCTTGGCATTCAGTTCGCGAAAGTGAAGAGAAGATGAAAGTCACGAAATAATACAAACGTTCATTGGAAAAAAAAATTAATTATATAATATTGTCATTGAACGGAATTGTTCGAAACGACGAAACCTTAATTCAACGACCAATAGTTAGAACAACCCTGGCTTACAATTGCTACATGAAATGCAAGATGATTAAGAATATTGCACAAGTGCAACCTCATTTAGGATAGTATTCAACATGCTGCTGTTTTGGAGGTGGTCAAAAATATTCAATGTTGCATAATTATGATCTCAAATATTGAAAAGGCCACTGTCTATATTGACTGACCAGTTACTAGTGGCTTCAAGAAGAGCAGTAAGTGTAATATGTAGTGACCTGAATCCCGACTGGCAATGCCTCAACAAACGGTTGATACTGAAATAGTTTATAAAATTGTTCAAAAATTACTTTTCCAAAAATTTTAGGAACAGCTGGAATAACTGATATTGGTTGATAGTTTTTCGGATCGTTCTTTTTGCTTTTCCTAAATTTTGGTGACACTCTGGCCATTTTCACTCATATGGAAATATACCAGTGCTAATTGATCTGGCAAATATTGGTCTTCATTGCGCTTTCTTCTACTGGCCAAAATAAGTTTGGAATTAAGCCATTTGGTGCAACAATGGATTGAAATTTTATTTAATGAACTTTTTCATGCCCATTGTATACGAATCTCTAGTACCTACAAGGCCTACACTGTAAAAACGGATTTGTCGAAATGACGAAAAAAAAATGGTCACCTGGATGCATCTGAGAGAACTGTAGTATTTGTAGGATGCCATAAGTTAATAATTAACTTCTAAGCATGTAACAAACGTGGATTGACATTTGTAATAAATCATCATTCAGTCTAGTCTACAATTGCGACGAGGACGTAAAAGCAAACAGCGTGAAAAATATAACGGAAAACTAGAGTGGTGGTACAAAACATACAGCCTGTGCCTGCTTTTGAACCACAAAGTCAGTGATCCTACAAGTGCGAGATGGACACGATAGCTGGTGAGATTCAACACATATTTACTTGCAGCAGATATTAAAGACGATGCGAGAAAGCGAGCTTTATTATTGT